TGAGCCTCTGATCCGAAGTTACGGTATTTTCGTTCTTCTTTCGCTCGCCTTTTGGCCCCGCCGTATTCCCCATCTCCGTCCGGTGGAGGGGATCTCATATATTATTATCCTTGCACATCATCTATCCACTTGTCTACATATATCTTCTATTATTATTTTTTCTCCTTTCCACCTTGGTTTTGGTTTGTTCCCTTCTTTCGTCTCATCTCCTTAGCCGTCGCATCATCGCCAGGCCCTTCATTGCTCCCCCTTTGCTATGGACTCCCAGCTCTCAATGGAAAACATGGATTGCATGCGGGATAAATTTGTCAAGGGGGAGCTTCTCAATGATCGGTACCGCACTGTGGCCCCGTTGAATCATGGCTCCTTTGGGATGGTTTTCCTTGCAGAGGACATTGTAACTGGTGACCAGGTTGCTATCAAATGCATGACCAAGACTGCCTCTGGAGACTCATACCCTCTAGCCGTTGACGAACGATCCGAAGAGTTGGAGTGCCATACCCGCCTGGGACACCACCCAAATATCGTTAACCTACTCAACTCTTTTGAAACGGAATGCCATATATTCTTGGTTCTTGAATATTGCTCTATGGGAGATCTGTACGAGGCCATAAGGAGCAATCGCGGCCCTTTGGAAACCGAGCATGTTCGTGCATTGATGTTGCAGCTTGTAAGCGCTGTTGAGTATATGCACTCAAAAGGCCTATACCATCGAGATATCAAGCCTGAGAACATATTTCTCACTCATGACGGCTCGATGAAGCTTGGAGATTTCGGTCTGGCCACCCGCAGCCCTTGGTCCTACGAGGCATGCGTTGGAAGTGATCGCTATATGGCCCCGGAACAATACGATCCCACTCCAACCGGCTACTCGACTGAACAAGCCGACATCTGGTCCGTTGGAATCTGTCTTCTGAACATCCTGTTTGCGAGGAATCCCTTCGTTACCCCAACTGATTCTGATATCTTCTTCGCCGACTATACCCGTGACCGCCAGTCTCTCTTTGACATCTTCCACAACATGTCTCAAGACACTTTCGAGATACTCTCCAATGCGATGGCACTTGACCCCAAAAAACGCTCGCTGTCTGGGGTTCGCGAATCCATCCTGCGTGCTGTTTGTTTCACCACTGATGACGAGGTGCTTGATGACTTCTGCACCGAAGACCGTGAGATTGTCCCCGCAAATGCGGATAGAGAGCCCCTTCGAACTCCTTCTATCACCAGCCCTCATATCAATCAGGGAGATTCCTTCCCGTGGGCAAAGGCTTTGCAAGCTTCCCCTCCCCAGCCGATTCGACAACTCTCTATAATCCCAGATACGGAAAGCTACTCCGAAGATCTGTTCCCCGCTTCGGAAGAGGAAGCCATGTCTTGGTATTCTGTACAATCCGGGTCACCATCAATTTCTGCATTAGGCTCCACCTTTGGGACGTCGTTCAAGTCAATGACCATTCGACCCGCCGAGAAACGCTTCGCAGTCCATTCTGATCCTGTCCCGATTAGTGGCTCTCTTCCTACCCGTGCTGGAAGACCCATCCCAGCCATGTCAATGATCTTTGGAAAGGGTAACAACGAAATGTCTAAGAGCTGGAGCGATCTATGGGATGAAGAGGAAGAAGAGAGTGAGAACGAGACGATAAAGCAACGAAAGGAGCAAAATGCCCGTAGCTGGAGCCAGGATAGCCAAATGGAGAAGACAACACCCCGTCCGACTGGTTTATCTGAAGCCCAAAGCTCATCATTTGCGAATTCTCGGTCCGGTACCCCTAACGACAACCACAACAAGAGCGTCGCAATTCCGACTCCTCGAAAACCAAACAAGGACTTGATGGAGAACCATATCCCCGGATCTAATTTTTCTTCACCAAAGCATTTCCCCAAGCAATCGGCCATGGACAAATGGGCTGCTCTCGGGAACAGGCGACGCAAGTACCATCCGAAACAAGATGATACCCCTCGCTTGAGGAAACAGAAGCAACTGTCGAAAAGCTGGCGCAAGGATGCAGGCTTTGGCACTCCGGGCTTTGAGGACCGCCATGTCGACCAGCATTTCCTTGACATTGACTGGCGTCGTGACCCCTTTGAAACAATCAAACCGAAGAAAGCTTCGATCGTCGTTGTCCCTTGCGATCGCGTCGATGATGAGTTCGATTGGATTGGCGGTTGGCATGACCTTCACATTTAAATACAGGCTTGCATTCACTCAAAAGCAACCTACAACTATGCTATCTTACTCCCCTTATTTCTTTTTTTTTCCCTTGTCAATTTTTCGCCCCTCTTTGCTGACAATATCTGGACTGTTGGTTGTTGTTGACTGCCTGCCTACCTGCTGCTGCTGCTTTGATTTCGTCTCTACCCTTCCCGATTGAATCGCTTGAACCATGTCCCAATTTTTCAATTCATACATTTCTCTCTCTGCTTTTTAAGCTGTCTTACCTTGTTTTCGGCTTGCTGTATACACACCCTTTTTGTCTCAACTTTTTCGCGCATTCCCTAACTGAGGGCAAGGATTGGTTTGTCCCTAATGGCCAATATTTGCTTGTACTATAACACGTTTTACATCCGTTATTGGGGCATACATGCAATTTCGCACGGCGGAAATGAGATGGTGCTGGTTTGGGGGAGATTACAAGGTCTTCATTTGGTACACCTGGAGCGGCGTTCTCAACTGCTATCGATTCGTTTCTACTACAATGTTGTTTTGGGGATGTATCACCATATTTGTGGTTCTCTGCGATTTCTTTCAGCCCTACCGTCGTTGTTTTCCCTTCTACTACTATGTTTTTAACCATTTTTATTGTCATCGTCTGGTTCCCCATTGGCAAAGGCAAACATGACACACGGCACGGCACGGCACGACAGGCAGCTTTTCTATTTATCGAACTTTCAGGACGGAACACCCATGGCAGAGTTGGACGAAAGAGGATAAAAGTATGCATATATATTTGTATGTATCTCTCTATATACCAAAAAAAAACGCCCGTGGCATATTTAGAAAAGTGGTAACGATATATTTATCGTTTTCGGTTTTCGCTCAAAAAAATGCCAGCCACTTTTTTGTAACAGAATCAAAAAAGTGGAAGGGGGTAGTTTAGCAATAGTTTAGCTACTTTAGTTGGTCAGAAACAAAGATGTTTTTTTCCCTCGAGAAGTGAAAGTCCTAACAAGTTCTATCTTCATTCATTCATTGCAATATTCAACTCTTTTCACCAATTTTGGTGTTGTTGAATGAATCTAATCTTCCTTGGAAAAGAGATTGTGCAATTTGCTGACTCCCCCCCAAATAAGAACCATTGTATTTATATTGATCTTTAGAACAGTTATACACTCAAAGATACGATAGCTGAATACGGAGCTCACATGAGAAATAGATAGATGGATGGATAGATAGATAGATAATGTTTCTACACTAGCTCTGTGCTAGTGCTTCTTGAAGTAAGCATGTTTATATACTAACCGAGATCAGTTACAAGGCACAGCTTATCGTATAAACTGACTTGACACATAGTTAGTTATATAAAATGATTTATCTGAATAAATCCAATCTATTTAGTTTAGAAGGGGGCTTTGTTGTTTCTGATTTATCTGTGCTGTATAACTATAAATCGGTTTCTTCTCCTTTGTATAGAGAGAGAAAGAGAGAGAGAGAGAGAGAGAGATCTTTCTACCACACTAACTTATGATTAGAATACCAACCGCCATATCAGGATAGCATGCTGATATCAAAGGCTGAGATATTCAATCAACATTTATTAGATCAGCTCTGCATCGTCTCTGAAAAAGAGTAGATTTTTTTTTTCAAAGAATCAGTGAGAAGACAAGGCGTAGAATGTAGACTGGTTTGAGTTATAAAGACTTTATTGTTTCTGGTCTTTTCCTGTGCAGTCCAGATATGAATTGGTTTCTTCTCTTTCTTTGCAGGGATATTTCTGTTACTAACTGATGGTTAGAACACCAACCACACTGTATCAGTGTGCTGATATCAAAGACTGAGAGGTTGAACCAACATGTGTCAGATCAGGTCTGCATTCTATCATCAATCAATATGTGGTTGATATATAATGTGTTGGCGTTCTCTGAGAAATGGCGCATTTCCAAAGAATCGGTTGTTTGATCGAGAGCACAAACCCTTCATTCGATACCTTCGACGTCCCCATGTCTAACCCACTGCCACAGCAAAAATGGTATCCAGTTTTCAAACCGGAGCTTGACACGGCAGCCCACGATCCTCTTGACCCAGACAAACGATACCATGAAGGTATCTTCATTGAAACGAACCCGGAGAATCGGAAGGGAACACTATTCCATGTCACTGGTGACATCATTGCAGCTGGTGGCATGAGGTATGAAGAGAAAGATAACTATACTCCCGGGGTGTCCGCGAGTTTGAACCGATCGGTGTTGATTGGATGGGTTCTCAAGGCTGATTATGATTCGGGGAGAATCAGTGATATTTTGAAAGCTTTGCCAACACCGCCCAAACAGCAAGGGCTAAACTTTTGGGCGGAGCCTGGTAGGATGACTGAAATGATTTGGACGAAAGAGAATGGAGAGCGCTATGGGCCTGACGAGCAACGTCCGCCCATCTTCAAATGTAATGAATGGACGAACAACCACGCAATCCCAGCATTGCGTGAGGCTGGAATTTTGAGAGAAAGTGTCTAGGCAAAGAGTATTATGTTTTTTATTCTTAGCAGGATAATTTTTATTGTCAATTAGCGTCCCCAGCCCAGATCCTTGTCAATCATACGCATTATGGCCAGCTCAGCGAGCGGTACTTGCAAAAATTGTTGGACTTGCCAACACCACTCCTCTTCCCAGTAGCACATATCAAATAGTGAAGCTGCGCAGAAGAATTCCCAGAAATCTGGATACCAACCTGCTCTCTCCCAATCCACAAGCACAACATCGAATGATCGGCCTCCTTTGTCATTCAAATTCTCCACGACCATGATGTTCTTCTGGTGAACGTCCCCATGCGTCAAGGTTGGCCGGCGATCTTGAAGCACGCTAGCAAGGTGGGTTTCGTATAGGCGGACCTTGTAGTCCGGTCTACCATTACGTTCGGTCAAGGCTCGAAAATTCCCAGCGAGGCCCGCAGCAAAGGCAGCTCCACCATGAAAAGGTCCCAGATGCTTCTGATCACCCTTCGTTTGGCTGTAGAATAGGTAGTGATATACACCACCGCCATCCAACCCTCCGAAAAAGTTGGGCCAGGGACACTCGGCTTGCCGCATAGTATCGAACATCTGGCGGAGTTTGGCAACAATGTCGTCTTTTTCGGAAGGGGTCAGCGACGGCCATATCGAGTCAAGTCGCACCCCCGGAATACGCTGCATAACCAGGAAGACCTGATTAGATTCTTGGTACATCGCGTACAGTCGCGGAGCCGAAACTTGGGGTACGTGCTTTTCAAGGTAAATCAAAGCCTGGCCTTCCCAGGCGTTTACGCTGCCACCAAATTTGACAACAACCTTGTCGTTTACTGCAACAATCTTGTCGTAACAGCGCTCCCATAGAATATCAGAGCAGGACCGGATTTCATCCGTAGTGGGTAGAGTAGGTAGAGGCAGGGTGCTGCTCTTGAATGGGAGCGAGACCGGTTCCCACATCTTGACGAGAACAAGAGTCGATTGGGAGTCGACTGAGGATGGGTGTTGTTGTTACATGAGCTTGGGCTCAGAATAAACCTCATCAGGAAGGTTCCAATGGAATAAAGAGATCACATGATTCTCTTAGAGGGCGGGATATGTTGGGCACTAGTTGCCCAGGTGGCCCTTCACCGCACGTGATTACCCCTATATAGTTAGCTAGCGACCACAACAATAACAAGATCAACCATCCCACAGGTTATGGCCTGGATAGCAGATTTTTAAGAAAAACAACATGTTTTGATTAGAATACACTGCAATCAATGTTATATTAAATGAGTTAGACATTATTCCTCTGAAAAAAGAGCTCTTTGTCTATAAAAATGATATAATTGATGAAATTACTGTCAAGACTGCTGCAGAGATTTCATTACTATCTTAAAAAAATCAAAAACTTATTTATTTATTTTTATTCAGAATCTTTCTAAATCAGATTGATTATGAGTAATTCTCAATTATCTATAATTCTTATATCAGAATGTAAGAAGATACTATATTTATAATCAAAAGTTTTTCAATTTTTTTTCTCTATTACTAAGTAAGAATCTGTCTCAGAAGTAGAGAGTGATTAAATTAAATATATAATAATAGAGAAAAATATAACAATCTCTGATTTAGTATAAGATACTGATAAGATATCAGAATATAAAAAATTTGAAAATAGTATACTCAGTTCTATATTAATATCTATACTAAATTCTAATAGTATAGTGATTATAATAGCAGCAGATTTCATTGTACTCTGTAAGTAACTAATATTAGTATATACATCATTATTTTCTTTATTATTTTCTTTTTTATTTTTATCTTCTCTGAATTCTATATCAGAAGAAGATCTGAATATACTGATTTATAAATATCAGAAGAAAATACAGATTTTATTAAATATAAAATCTATTATTATATTTAATAATATCAACTATTAGATATAAAAAATAGTATTTTTTTTAAATATAGAGATGATTGATAATACAGATATTTTTAATAAGAATTAATAAAAATCATCTGAAGATTTATCAATATTTAAATAATAATATTAAATAATATATTCAAAGTTACTCTTTTATTGTATATTATAATCTCTGATAGATTCTGTCTGTTTGATTATGAAATTCATTCAATTTAATAATATAACAGCTCTATAATATAAAATAAGTGCAGTATATATAATATCTCTAAAGAAGAAAAAAATTAATATTCTCAAAAAACTTATTTATTTATATATTAAAAATAATAATTATCTGATATATATATATTAATATTATTATCTATCTATTTATATACAATAATTAATAGAGAACTGTAATAAAAACTATCTTTATAATTTCTTTATTATCAGTCTTCAAGATTATCAGAGAATTTATATTAAATTATATCTTGATATATTCTATAAAATAAATCAGAGTCTGATTGTTAATTTAGATATTAATAATTTTATAAAATAAATTATTTATTGAATGAGTAAGTCAGAGGATTCTGAATATCTCAAAACTTCAAAAATCAACACAGTTATCAATAATAATAATAATAATATTATAATTATTATTATAATCTCACAGTGTGAATACTGTAAGATTTCAGAGTATATAAAAATTAATTATTATTATCTGAACTCTGATAAAGTATCTGAGTGATGAAGAAAGAAGAATAAGAATAATAAAAATACTGACAATACTGAGAATACTAAAAAAAAAAGAAAGAATAAAAAGAAAAATAAAAATAATAATAAATCTACTGATATCAGAGTATTAGATCTTTTTATTTTATAATCTAATATTAATACAGTATTTATTTTATCTATATTATCTACTATAATATTCAAATTTTGATATCTTGACATCTGTATAAACTTTAATATAATAAGTGAAAAACATTTATTGATATATATAAAATTGTTTGAAAGAGATTTAGAGATAATTACTGTAGATAATAATATAAAATAAGTTGAGAAAATAAATAATATTCTTCTAGAATCAGAAAAAGAGAATATTTCAGTGAGTTATATTCACTGAATTTTTAATCTTACTATTAATTTTCTATTCTTTGTAAAGCTAGAAGATTAAAATTTCAGATATCAACTATCTGATATTATTTTTTTTTATTTTATAATAAAAGTTTTGAATAATGTTAATTTCACTGCTGTTTATACATTCAAAGAATTGATCTATAAAATAATAGAATAAAAATTTTAAATAGATATTTATCATCTATTTCAGACTGTTCATTTTATAATCAAATCTTATAATTACAGAAATATAATATCAATAACTATAAAGAAATCTAGCAATCAATCTAGTAATCACAATTCTCTGATAAAAACATTTATAAAATAATATATCACTCTAAAGTATATTTATACTGATGCAATTATTATATTAGTAAAGAATTTATTATTCAGTATCTATATTAAAAAATCTAAAATAGACTTCTTCTATAATAGCTGTGTCAAAATAAATATAATATATAAATTCTTACAAACTTTTATATTATAAGTATTGTAAGCAATATAATATATTTATATTAATTTTATTGATAGTAATTATATACTGAATGATATATCTGATTATTCTATAGAATTTTATTAAGAGATTAAATATTATATACTTATCACTGATAATATCATCTGTTATAGATAAATTTATTTTTTATACACTAAGAATCAAGCTATTGAATTTTATACTCACTGAATTCAATTTATAAAAAATTTCAGCTTTATATTACTGATACTAATTAGAACTGATATTAATAATATTTTTTAATTAAATAAAATGATAATAATAATAATCAAAAATAATACTATCTGAGAATCTATTATATCTCAATTCTTTCATCAAAATAATGTTTCTGAAAGAGAAATCTATATAATAATAATATATATTAGAGCAGTACTTATAGATATAAATATACTGAAGAAATTCTAAACAGATATTCTTGAAATAATAGTTATAATTATCAACAATACTTCAATATCTATCACTCTATATAATAAGAAATACTAATTTATCAATATCAAAAAAAAATCTATACAATATTTCTATACTGTTTCATTCTCAGTATTAATTAATACTCTGCTTCAATTTTATTATTTTAGAGAATTAAATATTAATATTTATATATATTTTTATAAATCTTAAAAATCTACTGATAAACTGTTTATCAGAGTAAAAATATTTAAATTTATAAAATTCTAT